TCCGTGCCCTCAAAGGACACGCTGGATGACGGTTCGCCCGATCGATGGGCCGAGAATCGTCGCAGGTAAGGAGGGATACAGAGGTGAAAACGCTCCTACGGCCCATTCAGGCCTAGGAGTTCGAAGGCCGGCCCACCGATAGGTTCACAGCCGCTCTGAGGCACCCTAAGAGCGAGGGGTGGAAAGGGATGGGCCTACTAGCGGCCAGTACCTGGGCGCACGAGCGCCGCAAGCATCCCGGCCCACGTTCGAGTCTCGGTTGGTTCCCAGTCCATGGTAAGGCTACGAGCCATTGGGACCAGTCAAACGGACCCAATAACTATATGGACTGATCGTCAAGAGTCTAGAGTCGGTCACCCGCTGACCCATGCTGGACCCCCGTGAACGGGAAGCTGGGGCCCCACTCGGAATAGCCCGTTAAAAGCTCACCGAGCATCATGTTTCGTCCGTCGAGTAAAAACATGGCACGGCTCAGCCCTCTGTTCTATCGAAAAAACACTTAAGGGATGACGATCACAAAGACGAGCCAACCCTTGATCGGACCCCTGCTACGCACGGGGGCTCATGGAAAATCGAACTCGCAAGGAGACCAAACACGCGGTCGCAGAACGACGGCGGACCGATCGGATCCTAGGGACCGGAATCAAGAAAAATCTTTTCGACCTCCCGAATCCTACGGTTACATGCCCCCGAAAAGACCGATCGCGACATAAGGGAACAGCTGCCCTACCAGGACAAGACGCGGGCTACAAAAAGAAGGCCAAGGCCCTTAGAGTCCTCCCGTCCGAAAAAGCCTTCAAAGGAGTATTCTACTCCTCCGCAGGCTCGGGGGCTACTGTCGGGTATCGATATTGGGGATACCCAAAGCAAGGAGGTTAGCGCCCACGCTGACCTCCCTAGATGAAGCAAGACGTATTAAAAGGTCTCGTCCGACCCCAAGGCCACAGGGGTCTCACCCAAGGCTGCGGGCTCCGCCTCGCCCGACCCCAAGGCAGCGGGGGTCTCACCCAAGGCCGCGGGCTCCGTCTTGCCCGACTCCTTGGGTGCGGGCTCTACCTCGTCCGACCCCAAGGATGTAGTTTCCGCCTCGCCCGACCCTAAGGCCGCGGGGGTTTCACCAAGGGCGCGGTTTCCTTCTCGTCCGACGAGGACTCATACCGCCGACAACCACTCTAGGTCCAAGCGTATGGGCCTAGGTCAAAAGTCTGACACTAGGGAAGGGACTAGCACGCATTGATGTAACCCATGGCCATGACGGGCCATACCTGAGGATTCACATCAAGAATAGCGTCGGGCGTGCCGGTGCTGTTCTGCCTAACCCTCGTACGAATGCTGACAGGCGCGTCAGTTCACCACGACGTCCGTCGGGATGAAATGGAACGCCATGACCGGCAGATGACGCCTGCGCATGGCGCCAGTGACGAACAGGGCCACGACGTGGAGCCGTCCCTGTTAACATCTACAGGATCGTCAGGATCCGCATGAAGAAGAAGGACACGGCAATCCTGGAAGTCTTCTTCTCTCTCGTTCTTCTCCTTTTCCTCCGTTGTAACCCATGCTTTCCCTTCGCCTATAAAAAGGGAAGCAGGGCACCCACGAAGGGGGATCCAGATCGACACGATACTTAACCACAAGATAAAAGCACAAGAGCAGCGATCGAGCTCTCAGCACCCATTCACTCCTTTCACCAAAGACTTGGGATCCTTTCCCTCTCTCGCATGTCTGTAACCTCTACTACAAATCAAGTGCCGGTAACACGAGCAGCAGCAAACTAGACGTAGCGATGTTCCGCCTGAACCTGTATAAACCCTTGTGTCCTCCGAGCACACCATCCAAGCCAGACGCGCAAATACAAATTTACTCGTCGGTGGTCCGAAAACACCGACAATAAGCGAACAGGATTATTGACGAGAGCAGCGACCAGGCGGCTGCGAGCCGTCGCGCTCTCCGTGACCGTGAGCGAGCAATCGACCAATCGTCACACGAAACTGCACGCCCAATCAATGCTGCCGTCAGATATCTCCAGGCCATCTAGACATCTGTTGCCGCGGCACCGTCAGAAATTAATGGGCGCGACTTGGCTATGACTCCGAGTCCAACTTGACGGACAATGAGAAGACGACGTCGGCTAGGCAGCCAGCGCTAACCCTAACCTGCCCGAGCCTGTTGACTGTGTCACACGGTTTCAGTTCATGGTTGGGCGTTGAGAGTTGTTTGGGCAGTTCTTCACTTTCTCGATCATGCATTCATCTTCATCTCTCTGTTTCTGCTGCAAGTGGAGATGTGAAGTGAAGTCGGACTTCTATCGACACGTTTTGGTTGGGAATAACTGGAAGGAGATAATATGAGTTTGGAGTAGATGTACTCTTCTGTTATTTTTTTTACATGTCGTATTAGATTTGTTCTGAGTCAAATATTTTAAACTTTGACCATTAATTGTAAGAAAAATTATGTAGCTTGACTATATGAGAATTATTATAAAAGTATTTGACATAGTGAATATAGAACATAGATACTATAATATTAATTATATAGTTGTTTTAAATTATGGTAAAAAATATAACTGTTCAATTTAGAACAAAACTGATATGACATGTAAAAGCGAAGAGAATATGAGTTTATAAATCTTTTGTTGGTTTACATGGAAGTGGGAGTTTTAGTCCCACCAATCACTACTCATGAGGAAGGGTGGTAACTTTGTGGGAATTATGTTTTTAGTGGGAGATGAATGCATTGTCACACATTCACAGTCCATCATAACTTGTCAAATCATTCAAACACACACACACACACACCAAACAAATGATATGAATTCTCTCTTAAATCTCCTCTTTCCTTCCACAGACCAAACAAGGGATTATGACAAAAAAAAACAATTTGCCATCTTACTCCTCTATCAATTTTTACCACTGATTCTTATACCGCTTCCAACATAAGGAGTAGTTGTTAATGCATCGTATGTTCTATCAATTCTTCTCGTAATGGATGGGAACATATCACATGGAGACTCCATGAGGATCTACCGTGGATTCACGACATGTGTCTATGTGCCACTATCCAGCACGAGCAGCTAGAAAGAAAAGCAATTCCCTAAATTTAAAAGAACCACAGCTCTTTCGGTCAATGTTTACTTATAGACATGTACTGCGACTCTGTCAGATTCTCGCGGCGCGGAGATTACTCCAACTTCTTTGGTACTTCTCTTGTCGCGATCAGGTTGCTTTCAAGGTTTTTGACTTGTCTTGAATCGGACTTAAGTTACCGCGAGATTGCAGGTATTGGTGGACTTTTGCCGTCAAGGTTGCCCTTATATATATATATATATATATATATATATATATATATATATATATATATATATATATATATATATATATATAGGCTGTAGTACTTCTCATGTAATAGGCCCTTCCGGTCTTGCAACAGCAGTCATCGCACTTAATTCAAACACCACGTGAGATGTCCTTATCACGAAAGCAACCATCGAAGCTAGTCGCTTCAGTAAATATCACGGCTTAACCGTGGTGCACATGTATACTGCGTGTTGGAAAAAGTAACTTAATTTAACTCAATCATCACATGGTTCTATTGATGTATAGTAATTGTAAAAGCTGTGTACGTAAGGTATTAATCAGGGACGTACCCCGCGATGGTTCTCCTTTTGGAGACTGAAAGCAATGGCTGATGACCAAAACGTTAGCTGGATTCTGCTAACCAGATCGCATCAGCTGAGCCTGAGTAGGTCAAAACAGTACTGCACCTACTAATAACTGACGCTGTATCGTCGTCGTTTGGGCATCCGCGATCATGCAGAAAGTCCGATGAGCGTTGGACGATACACGATAGTCATGAATCATCATGTCACCGCAATTAATCTGAGAAAACGACGCAGAACCACAAGAGGATCTATCTAGTCTAGTAAGTCAAATCCGAAGGCCGAGCTACCATACCTAATAATACTACAAGTTAGTATAGTACTCACACCGGATTTGCTACTTTACATGCAGCGTGGATAATTTGGACGAGACTGCACGTACTGAACAACGCAAATTTTGGCTGGTGATCTTTTGTGGCATCAATCATTGGTTAGTACTGTATATGTCCCTTGCTCGAACCAGCAACAGAGCAAAACATATGAAACCTCACAAAAAAAACATGTGATTTGAGTCTCGAGGACAGAGGATGTACTCCCTCCATCCCAAATTATATGTCATTTTAAAAATTTTGGAGAGTCAAAGCATCTCAAGTTTAACCAAATTTATATGTTAAAATAATAACATTTATGATACCAACTAAGTGTCATTAGCTTCTTCATTAATTATATTTTCATAGTATATCTATTTGATTTTATAAATCTTTGTAATTCTTTTTATAATTTTGGTCAAACTTGAGATGATTTGACTCTCCAAGATTCTTAGAACGACTTATACAACATCATGTTCGTTTGTTGGTTTCAGCCAGAGCTTATCAGCCATGGTACAGTATTTTTCTCTCACAATAAACCAGCATCAGCCGGGCTTATCAACCCAGAAATCAACCAGCGAATAGACGGATAATTTGGAATGGAGGGAGTACTGTATACTTGAATCAGTAATTCACACTTGGTCGATGATTCTCTAGTCATGTGAACTGCACACTGGTGGTCGTCTGTCCATTCTACTTCCCTGGCGTCTAGAACGCCAAAGAAGACAAAAGGGACTAGGCAACAAATATGGTAGGCTGAGAGGAGAAAGAATGGCACTGCTAGCTTTTGGAATTCATTTTACACCACATACTACATCTCTGAATGAATGAATTCCAAAAGCCAGCACTGTCTACTCACGCCAACCTATACTTACTGGGAAAAAGAAAGGAAAACGAAACAAAAAAAAAGAAAACACATGAAAAAACATATAAGTGTATAGTTTTCTCCCTCACACGCCCTTCTTGTTCCTTCGTCGTGAGGAAACTCGAATCGGATCATACAATTGTGGTGTCATGCAGCCACGTGACGTGGCCCATCAGACGTACGCCTTGGGAGGGTACCTGTCCACGTCGTCCACCCAGGGGTTGCAGCAGCTCTTGCTCTGCGCGCCCTTCCTGTCCGGCCCCGCCGCGGCGCCGGGCGACGACGACGACAGCGCCGGCACGTCGCGGAGCGCGCGCCACACGGCGCTGTTGCACTTGAACCCGGAGCCGAAGCCGATCTGCCACACGCGGTGGCCGCGCCGCACCCGGCCCTTGGCCTCGGCGTACGCCAGCTCGTACCACAGCGAGCTGCTGCTCGTGTTGCCGAACCGGTGGAGGGAGCACTTGCTGGGCTCCATGTCCGTGTCCTGCAGGCTCAGGCTGCGCTGCACCTCCTCCAGCACCGCACGGCCGCCGGCGTGCACGCAGAAGTGCTCGAACGCGCGGCGGAAGTCCGGGATGTAGGGGCGCACGCCCTTGACGCGGAACACGCGGCGCGTCATCAGGGACTTGAGGAACTTGAGCTGCTCGCTGAGAGGCAGCACCAGGGGCCCCAGCGTGGTGATGTTGGTCTTGAGCGCGTCGCCGGCCACCGCCATGAGCTCCCGCGCCAGCGAGACGCCCACCTTGCCCACCTCGTCCTCGCGCTGGTACACGCAGTTGAAGCACTCGTCGGTGGCGCCCTTGTGGGTGCGCACCGTGTGGAGCAGCCGGTACTTGGCGCGCCCGGCGTCCGCGCGCTTGTTGGACAGCAGCGCCGCCGCGCCGCCCATGCGGAAGATGCAGTTGGAGAGGAGCATGGAGCGGTCGTTGCCGAAGTACCAGTTGAGGGTGATGTTCTCGGTGCTGAGCACGACGGCGTACGAGTTGGGGTTCGCCTGGAGCATGTCCTTGGCGAGGTCGATGGCGATGAGGCCGGCGCTGCACCCCATGCCACCCAGGTTGAACGACTTGACGTCCTCGCGCATCCTGTAGTGGTTGATGATCATGGACGCCAGCGACGGCGTCGGGTTGAAGAGGCTGCAGTTGACGATGAGGATGCGCACGTCGCGGCGCGGGTCGATCCCCGTGGACTGGAACAGCGCGTCCAGGCACCCGAACATGACCGCCTCGGCCTCCATCCGCGCCTCCGCCATGTTGAGCCTGGGCGGCCGCGCCTGGACGCCCGGGGGCAGGTACGTCTCGTCTCCCAGCGCGGAGCGGTTGGTGATCTTGGTCTGGAAATCCAGCGCCGCCTCATTGAAGGACCCCGTGCTCTCGGTCATCTCGAGGAAGGCCGACTTGGAGATCTTGAGCTGCTCCTCGGGCTTGTAGCACGCGAACTCGACGAGGTACACCGGGCGGGGCCGCTTGAAGTAGTAGACGGTGAGCAGCAGCAGCGCGGTGCCGAGCCAGGCGACGCAGGTGAGCAGGTCGATGGAGTAGTAGATGACGTCGAGGCGGACGAAGGAGTAGGCGGCGGCGGCGATCGCCGGCACGCAGAGCATAGGCAGCACCGACGTGGGGCTGCCGCCGTGGCGGATCCCGAGCTTGACGTACTTGAGCTTGATGTTGCGCGCAAAGTCCGGGAGCCGGCGGCGGATCTTGATGACGATGCTGGGCGCCGGCTCGCCGCCGCCGTCCCGCAGAGCTTCGTCCGCGCCGCGGAAGGCCATCTCCGCCGTGAGGCGCTCCCGCTCCATGACCGCCGCGGGCGCAGCCTCCATGGAGATCGGAGCGAGCTCTGGCCTCTGGCTGGCTAATACTATACTCCAAGCGTGTCGTGTCAGGCGGCGGAATGCGATGTCGCCGGCCTCTTCTCTTTGGTGTGAGTTGGATGGAAGCGTACGCCGGAGCCGGATGCGTGGTTTGGTCACGCGGGCAACTCCAAATATATATAGGGGTTGGGGGTCGCACACGCGCGCGATCGGAATCGACCCACCTGCCGCGAAACTTGTGGCGTATCCAGCCGCCGGAGCAGTCAAATTTATAGGCACGCGACGAAACAACTAGTACCCTTCTCCGAGCCGTATGCCATACACGTACGAGTACGAGTGGTACGAGTCCGAGTGGTGGGGAACCAACCGTACACTGCTCCGAAACAGTAGCCTATTCCGACCGTGTTACGGAGGCTACTCTTGTAACCGTTGCCTGGCCAGGGCCTTGCCTCAGAGTTCCAAGTTTTTTCACTCTTTCTTTATTACATCAATTTTTGAATGCATATATGGAGCATTAAATGTAGGTAAAAAAAGTAACTAATTGTACAGTTTAGTTGTCAATCACGAGACGAATCTTTTAAGCCTAGTTAGTCCATGATCAGACAAAGTTTATCAAATACAAATAAAACGTGCTACAGTGTCTAAATTACAAAAATTTACAATCTAAACAAGGGCTAGGAAAGGTAGCACTGGCACGCCAGCCTACACGACACGACATGATTGACTCGGAGGTCCATCGTCAGAAATTCATCAGAGGCCTGGTTTAGACCGTAAGTTTTTTCGTTCTGTCTTTATCACATCAAATCTTTAATATATGTATGGAGTATTAAATATAGATAAAAAAATAACTAATTACACAGTTTAATTGTAAATTACGAGACGAATCTTTTGAGCCTAGTTGACCATGATTGGATAATAATTATCAAATATAAACGAAAGTGCTACAGTGCCAAATACTGATTCCTAACCCCAATCTAAACAAGACATGAGAAGAGGAAGACATGTCAGCAACTGGGAAGGGCGAGAGGGATAGGTGGGGAGGGTGGCCTATTAATGACGGTGGTTACTGGGGGACGCTCAACCACTTGGAATTAAGGAGGCACAGGCCACACCACAGGTGGACGTGTACAGGATCCGCGCCTGCTGGCGCTGGCGCTGGCTGCATGCCGCGGCCCGCGCAGCGCGGCAGCAGCGGGCGTCGGGCGAGAGAGCCGACGGGCGCGATGGCCTGCCTGCCTGCCTATGCTGCCGCCGGTGCCGGTGGTGTAGCAGGGAAGCCAAGAGAGACAGGCAGCCAACGGCGAGGGGCGACTAGCGTGTTGCGTTTTTGCTTCTGTTCTCGCCAGCAGACCTTTTGATTGACCTGCCTGTTTCTTTGATTTCAAACGACGATAAGAACCCGGCGCTAGCGTTGGTTGGCAGGCGAGCGGCGTTGACAGGTTTCTTCCCCCGCTTGCAGGCCACATGAATGCGTTCTAACTGAAAATCATATCCTGACACTAGTTGTAGCGTATACGTAGGGAAAGTGCCTGTTTTCTGGAAAAATAAATATAGTAAAACGATAAGAATTAAGAAAAAAAAACAAACATTTTTGGCTTCTTGGAAGTTTCTTTCCATGGTTGGGCAACTAGGCCACGCCCAGACAAGACGGACGTACGGGCAATGAAACGAGCTACTGTAGCTCTGTGCTCAAAAGAATGCATGCGGCACGCAAATCACGTGACAACGTCTGGCTGAGATACACACACAGCTATAGACAGCTAGCGGCCAGCGCCACCGATATGGAAGCGTCATGTCTATGTGGCAAAAGAAAGAAGCACACGAGTATAGTACAACTGCAGCTCGCAACAGGAAATCTTGCTTCCAAACGCGGCATTTCGTTGAGGAACACATGGCGAGTTCGTACGCGTTTGGCTGCAATGATCGGCCACAACCCGCAAGGGAAAACGGCACTGGCCGTGCACCTAACGATATGTTGTTCTGTTGCTTCTTCTTCTCAAAAGCTTTGAGCCATTTAAGTGCACAACCGCTACCAGACCCATATATATAGCTAATCGTAGGAACTTGAATAGTCCAAATAATTGCGACCAGACCCATGCATCTAGCTGTTGGATCAATCGTCCAGGCCCCGGGCTGGGCTACCACCTGTCAAAACGAAACGGGGTAAAACGGGACCGTCCGCGCGCTGTCGCCTGTCGGGGCGAGGCGCGGCCAACCGAAGCTCGCGCGGAAGCCGGCCCGGCGGGCTACGGTGCACGACAGCACGAGGGCGGCTGCCGGGATGCCGAGTAATTTGGCAAGGCTGGGTGGGGAGAGCAGACGACTGCTGCGCCCGCCGATGCATGCAGTACGCACCGCCTGGCGAACTGAAGGGGGTACAGCTACTGCGGCATGCTCCGCGTTGTCACTGCAGCTGCAAGGACGCGGTCAGTAATGGCCACTGCGCTTCAGCTGCACTTCTAGGTCTTGCCGGCAACTTGATGAAACGTAATATAATGCGCTGCAGGTACGGTCGTACATACGGCCCGGTACGGTGCGGCTGTGCCACTCTCCTAGTAGTAGTACAGTATTAGTTCCTACGGTGATGGGATGTGACACAGTATATCAAGCTCAGTTAGGGCCCTGTTTATTTTCTAATTTTTTTTTGCCTCAGCACAGTAAAGAGCATGTTTGGACACATGTATGGAGTACTAAATGTAGACGAAAAAAAAACTAATTGCACAGTTCTCGACAAAATCGCGAGACGAATCTTTTAATCCTAATTAGGCCATGAAAAGTCTTAAGTGCTACAGTACCAACATGTGCTAATGACCGATTAATTAGTATCATTAGATTCGTCTCGCAGTTTCTGATAGGTTCTGTAATTTATTTTTTTATTAGTATCAAAAACCCCTTCCGAGATCCTTCCGACACATCCACACTAAAAAAATTTCACCTCCCCAACTAAACACACCCTAAGTGTACTACTCTGGTGTACAGACTAGCAGTACATACGTCCTCGGCTGATTCGTGATGCGCGTTGACAGAGGTAAAAAAAGAACACGTTGACCACGGCCTTGTTTAGATCCCATCAAAATTCTAAGTTTTTTTACTCTCTCTTCATCACATCAATTTTTGAACATATGCATGGAGCATTAAATATAGATAAAAAAATAATTAATTACACAGTTTGGTTGTAAATCACGAGACGAATCTTTTGAGCCTAGTTAGTCCATGATCGGACAAAGTTTGTCAAATACAAACGAAACGTGCTACAGTGTCCGAATTGCAAAAATTTGCAATCTAAACAAGTCCCACGTCATTAAAACGAGCGCCACCACCATAGGGATATATTGACTCGTGGCCCTCATTGCCTATGGCCATAAGGAGGAAATTAGGCATCCAACTTGATGGATCAAGAGTTTACGGTGTTGTATTTATGGACATTGTGTTCTTTGATTCATACGTGTTCCGGTTTGATTCCGAAATGTTTGGTCTTGACATGTCCAATGTTTTGGGGTTAAGTTACGAATTTGGCATGAGGATTGCACTCTGGCTTTAGTTTTTGATGGAGCTCTATTCTTCTAGAGCATCGACTGCACTGACAAAGGCCACTAGAAAAAAAAGATGGCGAAATGAATTTGATAGACGGACAATTTCTAAGAAAGTTGTGTTTCATAGAGGAACAAATATCAACAAGACAGTTGAACACTACCTTGATTTGATCTTGAAAGAATTTGCACAAATCACAAATTGGGGTACATATACTAAATCAGCAAAAGACTAAATATAATATTGACTTACATATTTCTTATTCTAAAATCTAAGTATCTTTTGTCATTGAACTCTAAATACATTTTCATCAAAGGTTAAAAAATTAGTCTTCTCACAAAAAATATAAGTATTTGTATTGAAAATATTTCTATGTAAGCTAATTGTTTCGCTCTTGAAAAAGGTCTTATGTATAAATACGCCATAGAATAAGATATGAAAAGATATGGACATTGCTGTGATTTTCGACCCATAAGAATAGAATGATGAGAATCAAATAAGTAAAACAAACTTTTAAAAAATGTTGGAAAATAAACATAAATATTGTAATAAAAAGTTAGCTACCAGCATCTTGCTGTTCAAATCACAGCGACATGGAAGATCCAGATATAACTGACCAGACCTTCCAAGGGCTTATTTGGCTATAGTTCAAGAGTTTTTTACCTGTGTGCCATTATAAAAGTTCAAAATGACCTGTGTACCATTGAAAAAACAAAAAGTTCTCTAGTACCTTTGCTAGAAATTTTCGTTCCCTACGTACCACTTCCGTCCATTTTACCTGTAACAGCAGGTAACGGCCAGCGGAAATGACAGTTTTACACCCAGTTGTGGTATGCAACAAAATTTTCCCACTTTCCTCTGATGCCACTGGCGTGTTTTTTTGGTTTTAAAAAACTTAGCTTTTCCTCGGTAGCACTATGACAACTTGTGTGTGCACATAAAAATTCAAATAAATATTAATCCGACAATTGCGACAACCAATATGAGAATCAATAAATATAAATTTAACAATTGCAACAATTCCAATAAATAAAAATTCGACGTACGTCAGAATACAATAAGATAAATTTGAAATGCATCCAAAATACTCGATAATTGCGACAACCACAATAAACATTTAAACTAAGTACATTCAGGCATAATAGAGGTCCAAATTTATCATGACATGCATAGTCAGCTTGATTACTGAATCAAGTTTGCACACAAAATATGGTCACATTGACCTCATTGCTAGTTTAAACATTGTCTGGTCACTACAAAAGCATGCCACAGAGATGCAAACTCATTACAGATCAAGTTTTTTCTTGCTTCTAGTTCCTATGGCCGGACTAGAAGGGGAACTAGGGACCTTGCTGCGGGTTGACATGGCTGGACTACCCTTATTTGGAGTCAATTTTTTTGCAATGGCCCTCTTCTTCTTGTGCTGGACTACTTTTGTGTGCTGCTCACTTGATCCTGAAGGGCCTAGCTGATTTGATCCTGTTCCAGATCCTCTGAAAAAAAGAGACATGAGTACAAAACAGTTGGCTTACCAATTAAAGTGGTGAAAAGACAATTATACCTCACGGAGGGGTCACTAGCCTCAGCAGTTGAAGTATTGGAAGTACTCTTTTGTTTCTTTGCACGAGTTGATGAGGATGATTTGTTCTTCCTTTTCTTTGATAGATCCACAACAGTAGGTAGAACTGGAAAGACCATCCTTTGTGGTGCTGCAGGTACAATACTGGTCTCAGTAGTAGCTAGTTCTATCTTCTTTTTCTTCTTTTTAGGTGGACCTCTGCATTGACAGATAGGTTAGCAACAATGTAAACATCTAGATAGGTTAGCAACAATGTAAACATTGGCATGATCGCATCAACATTCATATTTGCTCTTCACAGAGACAAATATTGATGTCTTTTACCTAATCTTTTGTTTCACTCTATTCAACCACTATTGTCCAGTCATGATCAGCAGCACTTTTTTAGTGCCAATAATAAAATACAGTACTGGTATAGTGCTATTTCTTGATGCCAACACCAAGGGTACAGTAACCTCAATTTGTACTCATGTTTCTGTTCTTTAAAGTTCACAATTAAAAAATTTCTCAATATAGGAAACAAGCATCCACATGTATAAGTTGTTGTAAGATAAAGAGAAACGTTGGACCACTAGGATACCCAAAAAAAACAAACGTTGGATTTGCTTCAGCCATGGCGTTGATATGCTTTTCAAACATATATGAATTCCAAGAATAAGCAGCAGCCCACAAATGTTCATCAAAAACTTTTCCATTGAACCTTTTCTTAAAATTCTGCACCAAGTGCCACATGCACTCTCTATGCTCCGCATTTGGGAATACCTTACTAACTCCTATCATGACTGCCTGACCACAATCTGTGCAAAAGTTCAGACCAGGTGGGGTACCTATAGCTTCCTTAAGCCTCTCCATGAACCAAATCTAGTTTTCATTGGTTTCAGAATCAATGACTCCTATAGCAACTGGGTACATCCATTTGTGCCCATCAACTGCACAAGCAATGCATAATTGACCTCTGAATTTTCCAGTCAAGAATGTACTATCAACAGCCAGATAAGGCCTACAACCTCTAAGGAAACCTTCAACACAAGGTTTCATTGCAAAAAAAAGCCTATTGAACCTGATCTTATCCTCTATTGTATGATGATCAATGACAACAAAGCTGCCAGGACAAGATTGTTCTATCTGTGCCTTAAACCTGTACAAGTTGTCAAAACTTTCATGCCAGCTTCCATACAACTCTTCCATAGCAAGTGCCTTTCCATCATACACTTTCTTGTAGCTGATATTGACCTTCCAATCATCCTTCAATCTTCTCCTAAGTTCTTTGGGCCGAACAGTTGGGTCCTCAGCTAACCAATCATTTATCTTCTCCCGAATCCAAAACTTGGTAGCATGCTTGACTTTCCCAACCCTCCTACTACTTTGACATTTATGATCATAAGGGTACGGGTTCACCTTGACCTACAAAGTTTAGTTTCAATTAGACTAGAATAATTTCAGAAGTATGAACGAAGTACTGAAATAAATTCAGAAATATGAACAAACTACAAAAATAAATGAAAAAGAAATTACCTGTACAGTAACTTTATCCCTCATTGTCGATGCATGAAGCCTCCACTTACAACCATCTTCCACTCCCGCGCAGTATGCCCGATACCTCCCTGGTTCACTCTTTTCAATGTTATACTCAAATTCTTTCTTGATAGCATGTGTTGCAAGAGCCAACTTAAATTCAGACATGTTTGGATAGATGCTCCCTACTTCCATAGGAGGGTCATCTTTGTTATATGCAACTTGAGGGATGTCAGATGGCAATCTATCATCTACCTCATCATCCAAATCAGAGTCAGACATAGAATCAGATTCCGAGTTTGAACCTGAATCATAATCTTCATCATTTTCCTCATTTATGTCAACATTTGCATGAGAAGCAGGTGCTATATCAAGGTATAAACCCTCCTCATCAACCCCCACATGTTCATTCTCTGGTTCAGGATTCATAAGATAATTATCCTCAGCATCTACCATGTCATCATCTGGTTCTGTAGCAGTCCCAGTTTGGGTTGTTTTGCTAGGTTCTACATAGCTAGGGGCTGATGGGGTGCATGGGATGTCAACATTGTCCCATAGTGGGATTTCTGGTGGATCAACATCAGGTTTATGATATGCAATTGACATGCAACAACACTTGGAGCTCATATGTTTCGCGAACATATGCATTAATTCTTGGTCTGAATGAATTTGTATGTTGGACTTGCTATCAGCACAGAAATAGAACAACTTCACTACATCACCATATCCGCAAGGAAACTGATCTAGAATTTCATCAACAAGGTCTTTAAAATTTGTGATGTCTGAATCAACAACTTTATTAATGCCATACCATGGTCCTCGCATATTTGGACTAATTATCCTGATTTCTAGATTGAAACTGGTCTTGATGTCATTCCTACAAATGAACGACATATATTTTACTCCCATATGCAGTGGCGGAGGACGAAAAAAATTTAAGGTATGGCGAGGTTGATAACATAGATAACAAAAATTTCTTGTTAAGATGGTTTATACACATATAAAATGGTATTATTGGCATCTAATATGTATGTAAAAACATTTAGGATAAATAGAAACAAACAAGTAATAAAGTTATTAGACAAACCAAGTGACAAACTGACAATACACTTCTTCTTTTTTTGAGGGGAGACAATACACTTCAATTGTGTCTATGCGATATCATGCTACGGCAGTGCGGCCTGCAGTGAGGAGTTAGATAATGGTTCGTGTCTCCTACTGTCCTTGCTGCATTGCGTGGACGACTGGACGTGGTCACGTGGGTGGCAAGCTAGCCACGGGCCAAACCAAAAGGGCCCTCAATCCCCCATACCGCCGAACACAGTAGTAGCCCAGAAACAAGGTCTAGGGATGATTCACTGCTTTTCTCCTACCTCTGGCCAGCAACCCAGACTTCCTAACAGCCAAACTTTATGTTTCTTAATCTGTTCATGGTATAGAGTGATTCAAGGAAGATAATTGCTGAGAATTCAAGGTATGGCGACTGCCATACCTTGCCATAAGAGAGCTCCGCCCCTGCCCATATGCAGTTCATTCCAGTCCTAACAAGATCAAAAGATGCTACTAATATCATGCATTTGGAGAAGAAAAGGAACGCTCACCCATCGGGAAGCCATGCTGGTCGCCGGTCTGCCATCCTTCCCAAATCCGCACCAAGTCAGCACCACATCGATCTCCTGCCTGCCAAGCACGTGACCTGGGCCTTCCCCGCGAGCTTCCCTCAGGCTCCGCACGCGAGCAGCGCCTCCGCACACGAGCGTCCTCCGCACGCGAGCGGCCTCCCAGCGCCTCCAGATGAGAGCACCTTCCCTCGGGCTCCCAGCGAGAAGGCCCCGCAACACGCCTCCCCACGCGAGAGAGAGCCCGCGCCTCCTCCCCTCGCGAGCGCGCGGACGCCCAGACAACGAGGCCGCGCCTCCTCCCCTCGCGACCGCGCGCACGCCGAGAAGAGGCCGCGCCTCCGCACGTGGCTTGAGCGCTGCCCGCCCCGACGAGCTGCGCCTCTTCCCTGGCCCCCTCGCGAGCGCGCGCCTCCCTCCGGGGTGCACGGCCGACGACGCCTCCTCCGGGTGCACGGCCGGCGGCGCCTCCCTCTGGGGTCTAGGGTTTGCCTTCGAGCGCTCTTTGCCTTCGAGTGGGGAACGAACGAGTGAACAAGGAGGAGACGAGAAGTTCACGAGCGAATTGGACGAAACACTGATGGGCAAAAAGGTAATTTTTACTCTGGTTCATAGCCACCTCTGTTAGAATTGAACGGCAAGCTGACGGAAGTGGTATACAGAGCAAAAGAAATTTCAAAGAGGGTAATGGAGAACTTTTTCGAATTCCAATGGTACACAGGTTATTTCAATATTTTATAATGGCACACAGGTAAAAAACTCATAGTTCAATCCACCACGATTCATATGAGTTAAGAGAGAGATTGGGATGAAATTTTTTTAACTAATATAAAAAATATAAATTAGAGTAGGGTCTTGTTTAGATTGGGGTTATGAATCAGTATTAGGCACTGTAGCACTTTCGTTTGTATTTGACAATTATTGTCCAATCATGGCCTAACTAGGCTTAAAAGATTCGTCTCGTAATTTACAATCAAACTGTGTAATTAGTTATTTTTTTATCTATATTTAATACTCCATATATGTGTCAAAGATTTGATGTGATGAAGAGAATGAAAAAACTTACAATCTAAACAAGGCCTAGATTAAAATGTAGCCAAACAAACACCAAACCAAAGTGGATTCAGCAGGTGCTCAGCAATTAAATAACGACTAATGGTTGTTGGCAGTTTCCAGTTTTTTACACACCTGTCGGATCTTTAATGTGCATGAGAGTTAGCACGTGTTTAGTTGCTCTCTAAAATCCAAAAAGTGTTACAGTATTTATCACATCGAATCTTGCGATATGTGCATGAAACATTAAATGTAGATAAAAAGAAACTAACTGCACGTTTGGTTGAAAATTACGAGACAAACGTTTTGAGCCTAATTAGTCCATGATTAAACACTATTTACCAAATAAAAACGAACGTGCTATAGTAGCCCATAAACACGCTCTTACATGTACTAACAAACGTCAAATCAGTTGACTCTTATATTGGAAGTTGGAACACAGTGTTTAAATTCATAAGCTAAAATTTAGAGATGTCACATCAAGTGTCACTTGAGGATATGTTCGGATACTAATAATAAAATAAATTATAGAAGTCATCGGAAATCCACATGACAGAATTTATTAAGCATAATTAATCCGTTATTAGCACATGCTTACTGTAGCACCACATTGTTAAATCATGGATTAATTAGGCTTAAAAAATTCGTCTCGCAAATAAGTCTCAATCTATGTATTTAGTTTTATAATTAATCTATATTTAATACTCTATACATATATCAAACATCCGATGTGATAAGAACTAAAATTTAGAAGAGAAAACAAACACAGGTAAGTCCGCAAGTAAACCAGTACAATGGTAGCAAAACTATTACTGAATTAAGTAATAAGTACAAGCTAGAGTTAGATAAATTCATAAATACTTCATTTGTCCTCGTATAAAGGGTTCCAAATTTGTCCCATATATATCAAACTATATAACTTTGACTGAGAATATAAAAAAGATTACAAAAATTACAACATCAAACTAGTATTATGAACACATTATGAAATATATTTTTATCATTTGTCTCTTCGATATACAGCCTGTTCATTTCGGTTTATTCGCGCGTATCTGATTTATAATTCACGGCTTGAATAATGTTTTTCTCCCACACCAAACCAGCCAGCCGTACTTTCAGTCATGGCTTATAAGCTAATTCAGCTGAAACAAACAGGCTAATAGTAGATAGTAATGCTCTTTTATGTAGACTAGTGTAGGGCGCGCGCCATCGCGCGCACGGTCGTGTAATTATCCAGGGGATTGTAAGGGTGATTTAGCTGTGGAATTACGAGGACGTGGCATGTTTGTTCCGGCATTTCATAGCTAAAGCACAGAGAACCATGAATACAAGGAACGATTACAGCACATTCAGTTTGATGCATATTATATTAGTACAGGTAGCATACATGCCTATTTTAAGTGTCTGGATAAACAAGCATATAAGTCTACGATAGCGCCAGACGGCTCTAGCTAACTAATGGTAGATGAAATTGCGATGGCCTGGCTCACTGCGTGAAAAACTCTCTGTAGCAACGAGGCAAATTTTTGGTAGGGGTGGCGGGTGATGGAGCCGCTCCTACAGTGACGTGCTCGGGAGTTCAGAGACTAGCCGCCCCTACAAATAGAACCGTAGGTGCGGCTGGTGTTACGAGCCGCCCCTACAAATAGGTCAGATTTGTAGAGGCGGCTGAATCACCGGCCGCCCCTACAAATACCGAACCGACAATAAAATTCTAATATATTAAGTCGGTTTGCCTCGCCCGTCGCCCTCTCTTTCTCTCCTCTTCGCTCCCTCTCCCTCTCGACACGACCTCCCGAAGCGAGCGGGGGAGCCTAGGGTTTCGCGTCCCCGCCGCCGACCGTCCCCACAGCCGCACACCCAGCAGCCGGGCGTCGTGGCCGTCCCCCACGGGCTCCCCTCCGGGCGGCGCCCGGCACGACCAACCCGCGCCGACCGGCCCTTGGCATGCCCAGCCATGCCCTCGCGCCACGGGCGCCCGACCGTGGCAGCCCTGCCACAGGCGCTCTCCCTCCCGGCGTGGCGGCCTGGCCAAGCCCCAGCTGCGGCTGTCCCGAGGCGGCGGCCTGGGCGCTTTCGCACGCTGGATCTGGTGCTTCCGGCCGCGACGGGCCCTGCACAATACGCCGGCAGCCTCTCTCCCCCTGTCCCTCCAAACGCCGTCGCAAGAACTGCCTCCCACATCAGCCTCAGGTACCACGATCCAGATCCCAAGTCGCTACTGCACCACCATGCCTAATCCTGACGGCTGTAACTTCTGCTCTCTTCCTCGCTACCTGCTGGTGGACACTGCTGATGCTTCACATGTATGGACCACACGGCACGCTCAAGGTGTTTGATGCATTGCCTTAGAGGAAGACCAAGTGCCATATTCAAGGTGTTCGCCGAGAAAGTACCGGTGATAGAAGTGTGCAGGTGCCTTTTGATGCCCTTTTTCCATAAGATTGGCTTCTTGCAGTTTGTATTCCAAAACAATTTTCTGGGTCTTTAGATCAGGGTACAACTTCGTATGATTTTTGGGCAGATCATGTAGAACAGAATGTAATAGATGAAATGTGTAATTTAAATATGTTTTCAACAGTAATGTCACCTCTACATGTTAACGCGATCGGAACAAAATACCTGAAAATTATTACAGATATACGATTATTGTTGGTACCAATATAAAACTTATCTTACCTCAAGACAACAGGAACGCAACATGAAACCAGAGCATTTCGATCGCGTTACATGGTACATACATATATCGATGCATACATTTGTCTAATCTTCCCACTTTGTGCAACTGCTGCAAGTATAGCCTATCAGAACTCAGCCCTTCATGGTTATATCTGTTTGCTACCTACCAACTAACATTACATTTCAGTTGGGAGATCCAATATGATAGGGGTTGGGTACACATAATGATAGAGGCTGTAGCTATGGGCATTTAGTTTAGAGTTGAACTTTTCGTTTGCTTTTTATGTCTCAGCTGACTGTGCATTTTTCTGGGATTTATCTTATTGATTAGTTAGTTCCATTCCAGAGATCCATTGGCTGCTTCAAGCGACAGCTCTATTTCCTCTGTTCAGCAGGTTAGCACCACGTATGATTTTTTTTCGCAGGAGCTCTGATAAAATGGCTAATATACTTTCTTAAAAATGCATATATACTTGCATAAAAAGCCTGCGTAAAGTAACACCAGAGTTTTAAGGACATACCACTGTCTCTACACAAATTTGAATATTTTGAAACTCAATTAAGATCTTGCCCATATTGATTTTTCCCATTTTTCCAAGTCCCTGTTTGTTTTGCATTTGAACATAATGGCTAATGGCTTCATATGCATCATAGGTCCTTAGTTTTGAGCCTGGACAAATCCCTGTTGTATAGATGCTAAACTGGAATTGTTGTATTTGACATAAGTAACTTAGATTGGAAGATCATCAGTAGCATCTAGCATATGTATATATGAGTTTGTTCCTATAACAAACTCTTCTCTATTCTATGAAATGGGCACAATCTCTTGCCAATTCTATGCTTCTCTCATTTGAGATACTGACATATTGCTTCTGTATTTTCAATTTGTTCTCATTGTCTTCTATGCCTATATAATATATAGTGATCAAATTTAGGATCTTCTTTGTTGAGATTGGTTTATATGTACTTTTCTAGCTTTTGCAGGTCTATTCTTTACCTTGCAATGCAACTATTCGTGTTTGAATGTCTTCTTGGATGCCTGATTACTTGGACCATATCCTCACGAGAAATAATAAGTTGTGATGGCACTTGTAGATTGTCAGTATGCACTTGTGATTCTCTTCACATTGTTCAAGTTGAAACCTTCTAGTATCATGCTAATGGTTCTAGTATTAAGCTTGCGTCTTGGACATGCCTATTTCTGTCAGCACTACTCGATGAAATGGACGGCAGCGGGGGAGATGGTGACCAGTGATGGCAGCCGT